ACTACAATTATGGTCAAATAGACCTTGTTTATTTTTTATAGGAAAGCAAAAATGAACCTGTGATACATGATATTTGTAAATTTCGGGCATCAACTAATCTCAAAATTCGTGTCACCGTTGACGCCCACAACGAAAAAATTTACCAATCATGCTCATGTGACACGCATGTAAACAAAGATAACGGGTTAGAAATGTTCACGTGAATCAAGAGATCTAGAAATCAGACAGTGTGAATACTTTAAATTTCCACATGGAAAAGTTTTTTCAGCTTTTTTTTTGTGCGATTGTCATCATTTGTTCCAATCTCTTGAATCACTGAATGTCGCTACGATAATCAGATATTGAAGCATTTAATTTCCACGATATATTTTTTATTAGACTTTACCCAATGCAAAGTATCTGTTATACAAATAAAGTAACGAGCATTATAGCAGGTAATCTCTCTAAGCAACCAAGGCACTTGCAGTCGATGATTCACTAAAGAAAAAAAGCAATTAAGAAAATTAAGAGTTAAGGTAGACGATTAGCGAGCATGACACTCTGCCCAATGTCCAATATATATATTATGTATTAATAAAGAAACATTCAACGTCATGATTTGGAAAAGGATACTATTTCCAGTTGGGAGCCAACTGACCACTGAGCTTGTAATATCTTGACAGACGATGGATTCTCGATTCGATCAAAATAAGACGGAATTTTGCACCCTTGTCTTTTCGGTTACGTTCAAGATGTTTGCGAACTGCAACAGCTTTCTTTATAAGATGATAGAGATCCTCTGGAATTTCAGGAGATAGACCTAGCGATAAATTTCATGTTAATTACGCTTCAACAGGCATACATATCCATTCAATTCACTGAACCAATCCATCATATCATAGTTCACCTTGTTTCTTAAGAATCCTTAAAATCTTATTAGCCGTAACATTCTTCACTTGCGCGATACCGTGGGCATCTCTTAGATTAACACCAATCTGAGAAGGTGTCATGCCTTTCTTTGCAAGTTTGCATATTTGATCGCAGACATCCTCAGGCGTAGTCTTCAACCAAGAAGGAGCAGTACGTCGGTATGGCAGAGCTGATCTTGCGATACCTTTACCGGGAGCATGCATACGACCCATGCTGGCTTTTTTATTTTATAAGGTTACCTTATGTAATGAGAGAATGTGGAAAAGAGAAAGACACAACGAGATAAAAAGATTTTACTTCATTTAGAAAATGGGTGAATGAGATTGGTTGGATCATTTTCAAAATCATGTGAGCAACAATATCACATTTCCCGGTTGAGTAACACAATAAAAGGCCGCGAAATTCACATTTGTGAGATTTCAACTCTCAGCTGAAAAAGTATGGTTTATTAAACTGTAATCTGTTTATATTAAAGACAACATCTATTCACTCGCACATATCTCGTATATTCTTCCTTTCTGATAGTGACTGTTGATGGGTTTATTGCCTGTGGTCACTTCTGCTTCCCAGTAAAATTTGAGCCAATATTTGTAGGCAGTTATGGTGACTATTAACTATACATCATCAACTGTTGTTATTATATTTGATCATTAACTGTAATTGTTTAGGGCCGACACTTCCGAATGTTATTACGATACTGGGCTTCAAGGAAAATAATCTCAGTGTAGG